ATTCCTGCAGTCACGAAAGTTTTTAGTCTAAAGTCAGTTGCCTTTTTGACATTGTCGTGGATGTAGTGGTCTGCAGTGGCTGGAAGAGTTCACGTGAACCCATGATACAGACACATATCATCACCAGCCATGATCTATCCACTGCTGAATGAAGGTCTTCATAATCCCTTATAGTCATAGAATGCAACGATCCATCTCGCTCCTGCACGTGAGCTGATCTCATCCCTTCATCCCCGTGGTTGAAGTGCTTTCGGTGTTTTCCCTTCCTTTGGCTGCCAGTTAGTCGTTAGTCTCGACCATCAGCCACGGTGGCGTGATGTTAACTACCTCACCTGGTAGACAGGAGGTCGTGGGTTCAATCCCGACCCTGGCGCCTGCTGTATATTTGGAGTTTGCGTGTCTCTCTCCCCACGATTGCGTGGCATTTTATCATGGTCTTCCAGTTTTTCCTTTCACATTCCGAAACGTGCGTTTAAAGCTATTGGCTGCTCTAATTTTCCACGTGATTAGCCACTTCGTTGAGATATAATTTGTGGCCAGGTCGCTTCTGAAAAAAAGCTAGAAAGCTCAGTGGGCCTTACCTGGTAAAATATATATATATTTTAGCGGGGTGTCTGGGTCAAGCCACTTTTTGCTAACAGTAAACGTGATGTTTCGACCTTGAGTATGTTCACTGACATGCGTTCCTCTATCTGTCTCAGTCAAATTCCAAGCATGTACCCCTCGATGCCTATTCACACTTTTGAGATTTTGTTTAATTCTATTCGTCACTTGTCCACGTTTCAGATCCACATGTCACAGCAGGTGATGTGCACTGGCTGAATGTTTTATTTATTTTTGGAGCACGTTTGAAAAAGTAAATTTTCCCAAATCACTTCAACCTGCTCTTCTCAACCACCATGTCACCGTGTTGACTGTGATCCACCTTCAATAGCTGCCCTTGGTGTACACACTTTGTTGCGTTTCCCAACTATGTCGCAGCAGCAGATATCTTCAGTTGTTTAGCGAACAGGTTGTATATGACATGCCTTCCTTTATTAGGTTTTCCAACAATTTTCCATAGTTAATTTCCAATGATTATAATAATGCCTATGTCATCGGTAAATCTGATACGGTTAATATCCATTTACGTCTAGCCGTTTTTTCCTCTCCTATGATGCAATGTTCAGAAAACATCTTCTCACCTCGCTGCGAATAAGCGTGCCAACTTTGTACGACTCCCCTTCAAATATTGTCTACATTAAGCCATTACTTGCCACATGCAAGCTCAGTGGAGCCCTTCCAAGTTTTTGTAAAGTAATTATATATCATTCACACGTAGTTTGCGAGAGGTTGAATGAGTGCATTAATATCCATGGAGCCAAATACAATTTTCAGAGTACACATAGGGTGTGCATAATGGTGTTTTGACATTCATTAGCTTTTTTCAGAATCTGATTGACAGTTTGAATGCAGCCACCAAGATAAACGCATCGATTCTCACATGCATGTTTATTTTTTGTACGGTGAGATTGTGCTGTGCACATTGTGATTCCGAGTGGTGAGAAATATCAGAAGCAGCCCTGGATCCTTTCCCCCTATCTTAACCAACCCTTTACCAGCATGGTGAAGTACGGTCAAACAACCCCCATGACTTAAATTTTGATTCAAAGCTTTCGTGACTGCAGGGATTCATATTCTTGGTTCTTTACCGAAAGAACCAAGAATATGAACCCCCATGACCTTCATCCAGCAGTGAATTGGAAAAAGGGTAGTTAATGATTACTATTATTTTTTATTGTGAGTTGAATTGTGGAACCGATGCATCATCACTCTTATGGAATGTGCCATTTAGTGATAAGAGAAAGTTGAAAGCAAGCAATCTTGGAGTCCAAGATAATAGAAAAGGTCACTTCAGTGTAATGAATTAGGCACTAGTTAGGCAAAGTCGCGTCTTTATGGACAAATCATACCGTAATAATGTGCCCGTGATTTACATGCTGGTGGCTGATGTGTTAACGGAGTTTTATATACCGGCTTCTTAAAATATTTGTCCATGTGTTCATTCTGCTTATCTCATTTTCCGACAGTAATCCCTTATCTTTTAAAGGCTATTTTAAGATATACATATATATTTTAAAGGCGCTGTATAGTTTAAACCACTTATTTGCCAAAGCAATTATTGGGCAGTGTAATCCTCCTCGCATAGAAACAGTGCAGCTTTGAGTGGTTATTGATCACAAAATAAAATTTCATTTCACACGTTACGGCACATATCACCTGTACATTGGGGGGGGTTCACGATCGATTCGTGAGATGGTCGTTTTTTTTAGAGGTCATAGAGCGCTGAGCTGGCCCAAACGATTGAGGCCATGGGTTCGAATCTATGCAAGCTGCATGTGATTAAACCGGGTTCTCAATTCTCTCTCTATTTCTAGAGCATATGGCAAGTATGTGGAAATCACAGTCCAAGTTTAGGTCTGCGAACCATTCCATAGCTTCGGGAGTTGCTTGCCAAGTGCTGCTCAGTCTGCCGAAGAGCGGGCGTCTGATGCAGGTATTCGCGATATGGTTCATTGTCTAGTTCGGGTGGCCGAAGAGATGATGTTTCTCAGATCTGCAACCAGTGCCAGATTTGCACACACAAAAACACCCGATCACATCAAAAGTGGTTCTGTAACTTCCTTTTGCCTGAATTACAGCTCTGGGAATTGAAGATATTAGTTTGTTTTTTTGCACGCTTTCATTTAACTCGCTGTTGTTGTTGTAGCCTCAAATCTTGTAACTCAATTTTAACCCACTTCCCAATGTGGTATCGACTGCAAACTTGCTATACTTATGTCAGACTGATGATAATACTATATTTTATCATTAAAAAAACATCAAAATATATATTTATTTACATTTTTTTCTGTTATGTTTCGGCTTGGGTCTAATTGTCCACGGTCAACTGACGTTGGCTGTAATTGATCACGGTCCCCTTACGTTGTGGCAAGCTTCGAGGCCACTTCCTGGAGTCGTGGATTCTTCCATTACTAGTACATTTCATAAAAGCGTGTTTAATTTTTTTTTACATTATTTATTAATACGACGAACATTACTCAAAGCGGTAAGGGTGGTTGGGAAAGTGCTGCCTGGCCCACTACTGGGTGGGCCAGAGTGCCACTTGAAGGGATCTTGGTATTAGCTCTGTGACATCTGCTTCCGTGGGCCATTCTCTAACACGGGAGGGATGCACTCCTCTTGCGGGATCCGAACTGGTTCTGTGTCTCACGGCGTGACGCCGATAGCAAAATTCGGAGAAAATTATGGGAGAAACACGTCACATATCTTTTTTTAATGGCCATTCATAATTGACATCGATACGTAAGCTCACATCGCAAGCACGCATCGAAAAATCTAATGTTTTCAGTCTCGTGCACGTGATATAATGGCTTAACGTGAGTGGCTGCCCCTAGAGACCGCTACATTCACACAGCAATGTAATGCAACAACAACAAAATCCTTTTTTCCGGGTTTAATCCCCAAGTCCGAATTCTTCGCGTATCGCTTAAGGGCGAGATGGAAGGGGTGTCGGAGGGTTGTTGAATCCTTTCACCTTGGTGACCAACAGGCTCACACGAACACACACGAACACACGAATGCAGTGTCTGTGGCTGACGCGATATTGCGTGGCAGAGCCACACCTCGCCCCGAGCCAAACGAGGCAGCGGCAGCAGCGTGGAGCCGTCCCAAGGCGTGTCCACGTGTAGCAGCAGCAGGAACAGTAGCAGGAGGAACAGCAGCAGGAGGAACAGCAGGAGGAGGAGCAGCAGCAGGAGGAGCAGCAGGAGGAACGGCAGGAGGAGAAGCAGCAGGAGGAGGAACAGCAGCAGGAGGAACAGCAGCAGGAGGAACAGCAGCAGGAGGAGCAGCAGGAGGAGGAGCAACAGCAGGAGGAACAGCAGCAGGAGGAGGAGCAGCAGGAGGAGGAGGAGCAGCAGGAGGAGGAGCAGCAGGAGGAGGAACAGCAGCAGGAGGAACAGCAGCAGGAGGAGCAGCAGGAGGAGGAGCAGCAGCAGGAGGAACAGCAGCAGGAGGAGGAGCAGCAGGAGGAGGAGGAGCAGCAGGAGGAGGAGCAGCAGGAGGAGGAACAGCAGCAGGAGGAGGAACAGCAGGAGGAGGAGGAGCAGCAGGAGGAGGAGGAACAGCAGCAGGAGGAGGAGCAGCAGCAGGAGGAGCAGCAGTAGGAGGAGGAGGAACAGAAGCAGGAAGAGGAACAGCAGGAGGAGGAGAAACAGCAGGAGGAGGAGGAACAGCAGGAGGAGGAGGAACAGCAGCAGGAGGAGCAGCAGCAGGAGGAGCAGCAGCAGGAGGAGGAACAGCAGCAGGAGGAGCAGCAGCAGGAGGAGGAACAGCAGCAGGAGGAGGAGCAGCAGCAGGAGGAGGAACAGCAGGAGGAGCAGCAGGAGGAGGAACAGCAGGAGGAGGAACAGCAGGAGGAGGAGCAGCAGGAGGAGGAACAGCAGGAGGAGGAACAGCAGGAGGAGGAACAGCAGCAGGAGGAGGAACAGCAGGAGGAGGAGCAGCAGGAGGAGGAACAGCAGGAGGAGGAACAGCAGGAGGAGGAGGAACAGCAGGAGGAGCAGCAGCAGGAGGAGGAACAGCAGCAGGAGGAGGAACAGCAGCAGGAGGAGGAGCAGGAAGAGGAAGAAGACGCAGAATGTTTTTTTCTGTTACTTGACTGTGTCAGACGAGACCACCAACACGCGGGGCCCGGGAGTGGCTGTGCGGGGTGGGATAGGCGCACGGTTTCCAACACCCCCCATCCCCTTCCTCCCATCGATCTTCAAAACGCCCTCGTGTAATGCAAATTAAAGATTCCAACATGTAATCGTGAAATTGAGCCCGTGGATTCATTCGAGCGGACGCGTGTTAAACCCGCGATATTGTGCAGGGGCGGGTTTTTAAAACGTGAACCCCCCCCCCCGTCACAAGTGCGATGAATGGTATCGTCCGCGAGTATATATGTAACGTGCAAGTGGGCGCGCCTCTCGCTCGTCAGTCGAGGGAGGATTTTTTTTGCGGCTTTTTGGAGGAAGCGCGGCCACCCCCCACCCCCTAACCGAGACATTTACAGCCGCCGCCGCCATCCACCACCACCACCACCAACCCTCTAAGCCGCTGCCGCCGCCTTACCCCCCTGCCGCCTCTCTTGTGCCGCCGACGTTCTTCGGCTTTCGTTTAACACGCAGTAAATACATTCATTCATATGTCGTTCCTCTAAAGTCGCCAGGCGCTTTCTTATTTGCCCCCCACCCCCCCAACCTTTTTGCTGTTTAAATTTTTTTCACGAACGCACACGCGGGCGGGCGGGCGGGCGCGCACGTGGCATCGCTCAGAGCAGAGAGAAGAAGAAGGAGGAGCAGGGGGGGGCTGTCGCGCTCGGCGCTTAACAGGGGGGGGGGCAGTTTTTTTTGGGTTTGTAAATTAAATTTCTTTAAATAATATATATTCTTTGAAAAAAATTAAATCTCATATCTCTGCGTTGGTGACGAAGTGCCCCCCCTCCCCCCCCCTGCACGGCGTAACGATGTCAGTCATTTCTCTTCAAGAATACGAGTTCGAAAGGGTCTTCAATGAAGCGGAGGCTATTGAATGGATGCAGGACAACTGGTAAGGAGGAAGAAGGGCCGCTCAGACCTTCGCCTCGCCCCGCGCGCTCACCCAAGGCATCGTCGCCGTACCATTCATTACCCCCGGGCCATGCGTTCCGGGATTATAACACACGCCGCTCGTACCCTCTTGATGATACAGCCTATCCGGTTTTTTTTACATTTGGTAACACTTTTGATGAAGTGTGTGTGTGTATATACACACCGCTCAGTGTATTGTGTCTCGTTTCTACACGCTGTGTGAACTCGGTACGTGCCCTGTGTGCGCGCGTGTGTGTATGTCTGAGCCTTCCCCGCTCGAGGTCAACGCCGGTGACGATTTAACCGAACCGGTCCTCCCCCAGGTTAACTCGGCCTTAAATTGGTACGCTAGTGCTGTGTGTAAAATGTGAGCGTCGGTGGAGACAAAGGCGGTCGGGGCGTGGTGCTGACCACTGACCCCACCGCCTCGTGTGCGGCGCCGGTCTTCTTAATAGGTGCTCCCTAACAGCGCACTTGCCCCTACAGTCTGTTACAGGCTACACGGGGGAGCTTTGTCTGAGCCGGTGAAATTGTATCCGGTCTCGATGTGATTGATTCCACACAGGTCTGTACATCGTAACGATGTGATGCGGTTATACATCACGCTGGGTACATTGTTTCCGCTGTACACGCTTATCCACGATTCATTATTTTAAAAAAAATTCCAACTCATTGTCTGCTACAGTTGACGCGTTCAATGTAATCGGCCGGTACAATACTTTGTGTGCGTACTCGATGCACACACAACGCATGTGCACCGTACGTACGTGCGCATGCTCTAACACATTGTAATAATGTTTGTGTTGTGTTGTGGCCGAAACGTCGTGAGAATTTTATTGTCTTATTTTATTATTGTATTCTCATTCTACGTGACTTTACCGAAAGAACCAAAGAAGATGAATCCTTGCAGTCACGAAAGCTTTAAATCGAAATGTTTGGGCCGTTGCGTTTAGAGCCATTGTCAAAAAAAAACGCGGTGCGTTGTTGCAATGCGACGAGCAACCGGTAACGTTGTGTGGTGTGTGGCACTATCTCGAGAACGCGTGCGCACGTGTGTGTTTGTATACACACATGTATACACACACACACGTGTACACACACGCCTGTGTGTGTGCACGTGTGTGTATGTATACACGTGTACACACACACACGTGCACACAGACAAACATTTAGTATATTGTGCACAATATACTAAATGTTAACGCGCGTGTGTGCGTGCGCGCGCACGTGTCCTATGCGTACACGCATAGAAGCACTACTCGTCGTATAGTAAGTAGCAGTGCATGCTTTGCTTCCGGTGTAAGGAGATGTCATGTATGCTGTTTGTGTACAAAGACGAGTGTCCCCCGTATAGCCTGTTGGGGCAATTGCTGCTAGCGAGTAGCACCTTATGAAGGCCGGCACGGCACACGAGGGGTTGACTGGCTCGGCACCACGCCCGGCCGCCTTTGTCACGCCAGGTACTCATTTGAGGCTGAGTCGACCTAGGGGAGGACCGGCACCGGTTCAGAGAGCCGTCCCCTGGGGGTGTTGGCCGTGAGCGGGAATCGAACCGGGAAGTGGCTCCATCGTACAGTACTCAATATACACACGCACACGTGCAGACTACCGATTGTAAGGAATATATTGTGCCGGTGGCTTCAGGATGATGATGATGTTGTTGTTGTGGAACGCGTGCTGTGTACGTGTTGTATTTCATTAATGTGTTTGATGGCACCTCGGGTGGCAAGGGGGTGGCGCAGTGGGTTAGCACGCCACTTGCACTGGGACGGGTCCCATCCATCCCCTCCCAGCACTGACCGAATGTGGTGAAGTATGGACGAACAATGACGGTGACTGACGCGGCATAGGGGCCTGTGAACTGTCATAGTTGGAGCCGGTGCGGTTATTGTATCGAGATGTGTGCTGTATCGTAACACGACAATGTCTGTGTATCGGTACTCTAGACGGTGTCTATGGATGGAGGCATGTGATGTAATGATGCATCAAGAACGGCGGTGGCATTGTGTGTACTACAACATTGATGTACGTGTGTGTGTGTTTTGTTAATGCGTACTTCCAGTACAAGCAAATCTCTCTGGAACGCGTGCCGGTCTTGTCAGATCTCCTGAAGCACGGCACGTTTGAGGCTGTGGGATAGTCCTTGGATGCTTGGGGGGGCCACACTTCACAGGGCCGTGTTTGACAGAGGACAGTGCGGTGAAATCCATTGTTGTATTTTATATATACCACACGCTACTTCCATGCTCCCAAGTCTTTGAATCTCCCCCCCCCCCCCCCCCCGCTTCGACCCACACTTAATTTACCAGCTCGGTTAATGAATTGCGGTTGTATAATCACTCCGATCCTAACGAGGCGTGATGAGAACACCTCGTCGAGCAGTGGATTGGCATTCTGGCAATGCGTACACAGTGCTGCCGTTTAGGGCCCTCTTATCATTTGCACTGCAGGATGGTAATCGCTTGCATACTACGTACATGGAGAGAGATGGCCGTTAATGATAAGCGCATAGCCCATTGAAATCGGCGATCTTGCTCTCCTCGTTACACGCGATTTACTCTAGGAATGTCATGTCAATCTCACTGCTTGAATGAAGGTGCTCATAGATTATTTGAAATATTATAGATGGACGCTACTTGTAAGACCTTATACAAACGCTCATCGTTGCTATTAGCCTACATGAATAAAAAAAATGGCTCGTGAATAATGACCACATTTCTCACTCAAGGAGCCTTTCATCTGAATTTAGTTATGTCAATTAACGTTCCTGGTTGTGTGTGTGTATACACACAATGTATATTACTATTTATGACTGACCGATTTCATTTACAGCCATTTGTCAATCCACTGCTGGATGAAAGCCGCTTCGTCATGTCGGCTGTTGTCACGGTCGTTCTTTGACTGACCTTGACCTCTCCACGCTGACCTCTCCACGCTGACCTCTCCACACTGCCCTCTCCACGCTGACCTCTCCATGCTGACCTCTCCACACTGGTCGGTGCCAGTTGGTGAAGTGGTCGGTGGGGTTTGGGGGCTATTCACGGCTAACATCAGTGGCGAGAGATGTCTGGTTGGGTCCCGGACTCCCTCGCCCCCCACGTCGCCAATCGGCACGGACCGGCGTGGTGAAGTATGGTCAAGCAACATCCACAACTGACCTCCAACAGTGGATTGAGAATGGGCAGAAAATATTTTTCAACCCCATTATTGATTATTGTTATTATATTTCTACACGGTACACACATTAATTAATAATCAGACGCACTGTTTGTCCAGCACACATTCTTTCACAATGTCTCAATAAGCGCCCCCTTGCACGGAGCTCAATGGGGTTATCTGTATGTCACCCACACACACGCGTGTGTGTGTGACACATTTATGTATCTGCATGTAAGATATACGTTAACTACTGTATATTATACAGAACACATTTTATGTGTACGTGCAGAGTACTGTATACACATTTGCATACATTCAGGCCCCGTTGAGAGAAATATGGGGGCCCCCCTATATGTAATGTTGAATCAGAATCTTTATTTAGATAGGAGGAATTGGATGAGCTATGAAGCTCTTCAATTATTTTTTTTCACAGATTGCCAGGGGCCTTCTCCATTCCCATCTCGTGTAAATGAGATAATTGAGATGTATTTATTTTTCTCCAATAAATATTGGGGTGGGGGGGGGGGACTCCCGTTGATATAGGAACCACGGTGTACTTGGCCTGCCCGCCCCGGCCATCCACCCCACTCTCATCAGGCCTGCGCACATTCGCCGTAGTTTAAATATACAATGGGCACCGCCATACCTATGTTTTATAAACACTCGTGCTCGATCGCAAAACACTGTACTGACTGTTCTTATGTAACTACGCTCGCAAGCGACGACTCCCTCACAAAGATTCTAAATCTGGACCGAACGTCTTGGCTTCTTGTATCTCGAGTCCAAAGCAATTATCTTCACACCTAGGTGTCCATTAAAACATTACTGTACTCGATCCCAGCCAGTGAGATAACAGGCATATACTCAATGTGTATGCTCGATTTTAAAATAAAAAGGTGTTTTGCATCTGCTCGCGACGTTTCGCCCCACGGTTCTTAGTCGGGGTGGGAGAAAAAAAAGAGCCAGTTGGCCAAAATGTAAAAGATCTATCTTCACCCGTCTGTGGCAATATATGGTAGGTAGTACTGTACACTCCACAGGCAGCCAATATCGAATTGCAGAGATTTGCTGCCCCGATCGGTGAACAGAGTTGTGCATGATGCGTGCATCATTGGCCGTGGCATGCGCAGCATAGAGATGGGATCCGGATGGTGTGGGTCATTTGTCCTTTATGCACGAAGGAGCAAATCCCGAGGAATGAAGACACGCGTTTACCCATCCCTGCCATCCCACCCAGCCCTGCTACTAGCCTGCCCTCTATCTGCTACTGCTGCCCCTGCCCTCCCTGCCCATCAACAAACTCCGTCCCTTCTCCGTAATATTTATTGATTCGTCACGTATATATGTACACGAGTTTGCGCATGAGTGGGTGTTGGTGGTCATTTGTGGGGAGTGGTTGGCACACTGCTACGAACCCGGCGACCCGAGTTCGGTTTCTGCTCATGACCAACATCGGTGACGAATATCTAAGCCAGTCCTGGTGCTCTTCTAGGTAAACTCTGTCTTAAATGAGTACCTGGTGGGGTGTATAAACATCGCCACTGGGGAGACGAAGGCAGCCGGGTGTGGTGCTGGCCACCCCCACTCCCTTGTGTGCTATTCCGGCCTTCATAGGTGCTCGCTAACAGCACTTGCCCCAACAGTCGGTTAAGGCTACACGGGGGATCTTTGTCTTTGTAGTGGTCAATGAATGCAGGGTCATGTTGCTTTAACAGTCACGCCTTGAATTCGTTTGATGGCTTTTAGCTCGTGGTTGTGAAATCTGAATATGCACAGTGCCGCTGTGGGATTTCCATGTTACTGGTAGCCTTGCCATGTGTA